ACTTGCTGTTGGGATGAAATAAAAAATGACAGTACACCAAAACTTTCGTACACTTTCAGAACACAAATCAATGGAAAACTTTTAAACACAAAAGAGACAAACAAAAAAGGATCATTTAAGTACCTAAGAATCTGTGAAGGGAAATGTTAAGTTTTATTGAACATTAAAAAGAAAGAGATCTAGAATAAGGAAAAAAGCACACTCCACACTACTACTAGCTGTGATTAGAATCAAAAATCTAATCATTAGTTTTCACTCTTTCTAGAAATAAAGTTTTAATAGCCATATTTTTATATTTGACTCCTAAGTAAATTTACCATCCAAATAAACAATGCTTTTGAGAACGTCCTTTTTAATTTTTTGTTTTCAGTTGCTTCTGCTGACTCATGACTACAAGAGGTAAATGATGGCTTTCTAGAGGCACTATTTCATCCAAGAGACTCGCCGGCCTACCTGGGTTGGTATAAAGCTGGCTTTCCACAGTTTTGCCGATGCACTGCAGTTTAATGGCCTGCAGGGAGTCGTCCACGTGCATGATGGTCGGCAGACTACCCAGAGTGTCCTGTACCAAGTTGGCCACTTCCCGGACATCAAAGAGCTTCAACAGTTCTGAGTACACGGCTGGGAAAGAACTCAGAAACACAGCCTTAAAAAGAAGGAGAAATTTAAATCAACTTCCAGATACGCCATAACAAATAAGCTGTACAATGTCAGTGAGTTTTTAAGGACTGTGGCAAGTATTTTTGAATGGTACGAAAATGAATGTAAAATATTTCTGTTACCTAAAGCTAAGAGGACAAAATTAAAAAAAAAAAAAAAGAAAGTGCAGTAGAATGGGACAGTTTTTGAAAGGTACAAAGGAACAACATAACAAAAACTGGGAAATTCTGGAAAATCACTGACATTAGCAAGAGGATTGGCAAAAACCCCACAGAATCAGCAAAATGCATCCTGATTCAACAGAAAGAATGCTCAACCCGGACCTGGATTGTTGTCATTTATATTTCATTACCCTTTGAAAGAGCTTTCTGAAATGCTCATTTAAATCTTGTTTATCTTTAAAAATCCAAACTCATTAATTCCCTAGAGCATTCAATTCATGATTTAAGAAAAAAACACAGGATGGCGCATCAGAAGATCTAGGTTATATATAGTACTAGCTTTGCTTCTAATCAACTCTATGACCTTGGAGAGTTATTTTAGCACCCTTTAGTTTCATCATTTAGGCTTTAGTTTCATCACTTGTAAAATGAAAAGATCATTAGAACAACCCCCCGGGTTGCTTCAAGATCTATTTTAAACCAAGGACTGTGTGTACAGACTAAGAACAATATTTTTTACATGAATAAAAAGACCTGATAATCGTTTTTTGTGGGGAAAAAAAGATGCAAACATCAAATCCCAAGGGGCATACTTAAAAAACTGGGCTAGGATTGTACATCAAAACAAACAAACAAACTCAGCCTTTTGAAATTCCATAGAAGGAGGGCACTGGAAGGAAGCGTTGACTTAGCCTCAACTGTACCCGGTGGGAGAAGGAGGCACTTGTTTTTAATATACTAAGATCCAAGTGCTGGCTGGCTTACCAATGAGAACTGACACCACCGGGAAGTAGGCTCCATCTACACGTGCTGATGATTCAAACACAGAATCAAATTCAAATTCAAGGATTTTAGTATTTATTTAAATAGCAGCAGCAAAATTATTGAGAAGAGTCAAGATTTGCATTTGATGCTAGCACCGTTAAAATGCTTAAGGTGCTGTAATCAACAGCTATGCCCTTTGACTCTTAAAAATTATGGATTTACTTGAACATATTTAAAATTAATAACTTGATATTCTCTGTTAAAGACTATATTTATGTAACCTTCATTTCACTCTGCAAAGAGCTGAGTCATACAGATCTAAGTTAAATTAAAAAAAATAAAATAAAGTGAGCCCAGCTTTCTGATTACTGAAGACAACTAAGTTGATTTTCCTCAGGTACCCCTTAATTTATCCATTATTTCTTTATCTATATCTCTTGACTTTAAAAGAACTATGTGAATGTGCCTTCAGTGTAAGATACATATTGAACAGGACTATTAAAAAGGATAAAAGAACAAGGACCTTGTGATGAGGGCAGGACGGTTGTACCAGGACAAGCTAAGTGTTTTCACTGCAAGTAAAAATAAAGACACAATTTAGTTTTAACCTTCCTGGTAGCCAAGACAAATAAGGAAAGGCAATTATTAGGAATTTGCAGCAGGGTGTTGGGCCTCTACTCCTTCTGTCATTACTCTTCTCCTGGGGATCCTGGGGTGTGGGTCTGTCCATGGAATGGAAAACCAAGAGCTACTGCTACACCAGCTGAGTTGGCCCTTAGTCCTCCCAGGACAGGGCTACCAAGGACAGCATCATTAGCAACCAGGATGGATAGCCAGCCATTGATTCAAACTGAACTGCTGGGATGGCTGTTCCACCTCCAGGAGACAGGATTTGCCCTCAGTTGTAGCAAACAACAAAGCAAAATGGAGCAAGGAAACTGGGTTTCTGTCTGTAAAGCAACCTGATAGTGAAATTCAGACCAATGGTAACCCTGGCTCTGGTTGTGGTAGGCAGAATTCTAAGATGATTCCCATGACCTTTGTCTCCTGGTGTTGTTTCTGTGATTACCTTAAAATATGGAGATTATCCGAGTGGGTCTCACCTAAACACATGAGCCCTTAAAGCAGAATTTTCTCTGGCTGGTAGCAGGAGCAGAAGTCACAGAGATTCAATGGATGAGAAGGATTTGACCCACTGTTGCTGGCTTTGAAGATGGAATAGCCAAATACAAAGAAATGCAGGCGGCCTCTGGAAGATAAAAGTACATCCCTCTACCCGCCTCCTCCCAATCCCACCCTGGCTGACAGCCACCAAGGAAACAGGAACCTTAATCTTACAAATGCAAAGAAATGTACTTCTGCCAATAGCATAAAAGATCTCAAAAGCAAGTTTTTCTCCAGAGCTGCCCTCCAGATAGGACATCAAAGATGACACTTTGATTCTGGCTTTAGGAGATCCCAAGCAAAGAACTCAACTGAGCCTACCTGGGCCTCTGATCTATAGAACTGCTAGCTAACAAATGAGTGTTGTTTAAAGTCATTATGCTTAAGGTTATTTGTTTTGCAGTGACAGAAAACTAAAACACTGGATCAATCAAATTAGTGACTCTCGGTTTCTCTGAAGAGAGATATGGGATCAAAAGGGAACCTGGGATGAGAAGAGGTGAGTAGCAGTCTCCTTCCTCCCAAAATATAGAAGGGCAAAGCTCTCATTGCTTAATAAAGAAAATCAAACACTATATCATTTTATATAAATTTTTCTTAGCATCAAACTACAAATACCACATGAAAATTTATAAGTAAGGGATATTGTACAAAATAATAGAGAATGACCTCAGTACAGTTTACAAAGATATTCAGAAGCTTTATGTACACATTGTATATATTATCTCTTGATTAAAAGTCAGGGGCAAAAAAAAAATCGAGTATGATTCTTTGAAGGTGCTAAAGTTGTTTCTCAAACTTGACTGCAAAATGGAAACTAGAGACAGAGAGCAATGGAAGTCAATATGTTGAAGAGACAGAAGGTGAGGTGCTCCACCCTGCTGTACTACGGTGGTGGCCAAGTCCAATTAGGGGGACAGCTAGGATTCAGTGGAAATACAACTAAGGTAAAGAAATCATTCTTTAACTTTAAAGGGAGGAAATATCTCTTGAATCCCTAGGAAGTGAGAAACTATGACTTAAGGTTACTCTTGTGAGTAAGAAAATATTTTTCAGGTGTGAATTAGGAAAGTTCTGTCCCTGTAACTGATAAAGGTTAAAAAGAAAAATCTGGAGGAGCCAAGATGGTGGACGAGAAAAGCCGCCAGTCAGAGTGTCTCTGCAAAAAAGACAAATTTTAGAAGAAAGAGAAAAAAATAAACTAGCAGAGAAACATAGATCAGGTGAGATTCAGAAGGAAGGGTGTCTGAAACTACAGGAGACTCCACAGGAAGACATTGCGGAGGAGAACTGGAAGGAGAAAGGTCCCGAGAGGCTTGGAGACCAGCGACAAGGGTAGGTGGAGCGGTTAACTCCCCCCTCCCTTGCATCTCGGACTGCTGGTGGCTCCTGAGGGGCTGGAGAGACCTGCCGACACCAGCCCAGAGATGGCTGCCGCCAGTAAGCAGTGGCCTCTTGCGGACTCAGCGCCGGGCTCCCAGCCCCCTCGGGGCACCTCCCCAGGTGCAGACTCGAGCCTATCGGCAGAGGCCATAGTGCTCCATTGTCTCCTTCCCCCTCCCTACCCGTGGGTGCCCAGAGAGACAATTTAGCCATCAAACGGAGGCATCTCCAAGGAAGGGGACCTTTCCTTTTGGGGCCCTACAGCAGACTGGTGGGGAGGATGGAGGGGGAAGGAGGGGATGTGTATATGCATACACAAAGAGTGCAATGCGCACCATCCAAGGGATGGACACGCTTGAAATTCGGACTGGGGGTGGGGGGCGGGGCGGCAAGGGCAACATATGTAACCTAAACATCTGTACCTCCATAATATGCTGAAATAAAAAAAAAAAAAAAAAAGAAAAATCTCAGGATGAAACTCAAATTTTGAATCCCTTTTATAGAGGTAGTAAACTTCTATGAACTTGGATCTAATGGAATACATGGTTAGGCTATTGGATTATCCTTTTCAAACATCAACTGCTGTAAGTAGGCTTTGGCTAGTGGGCAATTTGATATTGAGGTCTCTGGCAAATTCCTAAAGTGCAGTGATTATACTGTTGACTATAAAAGCCAAGCTGACATTTAAAAAGTCTGAACTGTATCTTTGTCCAGAAGGAAGATGAGTCTACCTCCGCAATGGAGGGAGTCACATGAATAGCCCCCTAAACAAACAGAAAAAGCACAGCAATATTGTTGGAGTGTCAGTGTATTTCTCGTGTTTTGCCATTATATATTATGCCTTCTGAATGTCGCATGGCACCAAATTATAACAACAATGCTGAAGATCTAGTTTTGTCTTCTAATCTCCCATTTTATGTCCTAGTTATCAATGAGCATAACTCTCTAGTCTCCAGGGTATGGTAAGAGGCTGCTTCTCCTTCTAATAGATTTTTTAACCAAGTCATTAGAATTAAAAGTATACAAAAAAGAATTAAGAAAGTATAGAGAAAGACATTCAGAATTATCTCATGGAACATGTTCCAGGCCATGCTATTTGGAAAGTAGGTGGATCCTGTACTTAAAAATCATGTAGGGCTACCCTCGGTAATAGAATTTGGCAGCAGCTCAGCACTGATCTTATAAGATCAGTCCCAGGATAATTAGAGTCAAGTTAAATAAAACAAAACAGCATGCAATTTAGCTGAGTCCAATACAATGATTCTCAAGTTGATAGATGGCTAGGCACAGTGGCTCACGCCTGTAATCCTCGCACTCTGGGAGGCTGAGGCGGGAGGATCGCTTGAGGTCAGAAGTTCAAGACCAGCCTGAGCAAGAGTGAAACCCCGTCTCTACTAAAAATAGAAAAATTAGCCAGGTGTGGTGGTGCACACCTGTAGTCCTAGCTACTCAGGAGGCTCAGGCAGGAGGATTGCTTGAGCCCAGGAGTTTAAGGTTGCTGTGAGCTATGATGACATCCCTGCATCCTAGAAATTCCTTCCCCAAAGCCGATGGGACAGCACATGGGATCAGCAGTACACATTCTGGTAACCGGCAAGGAGGCTGATACAAACAAACCAACTCTCTAGGCAGAGAGGAGAGTGTGAGGAAAGGCAATCTACTTCTGCTCGGCTGGTACTCAGAAGCTGGGGGATTTTTAAAATTCTACTCATAAAGTTGGTTAATAAGCTACAAATATAAACTGGAGCTACGGATTCCTGATGTAGGAAACATTCAATTATGCTGCTGTGTAAAAATAAATAAACTGCACTCATATTTCTCTTCTATTCAGCAGAGATGAAAAAAAATTACCTGTGACTGAGATAGAGCTCTAGATCCTTTGCTCTCTTGTGAAAGGAAGAAACGGACCGACATAAGGAGCTCCTGAATGCAGCAGCGGAATTCCTCTTCGTTTTGCCCACCCGTGGCAAGGGAAAACAGCCTTCGAGACTGAACTATATACTTAAAAATGTATTCTTGTGCCTTAAAAAGAAAATTTTAAAGTTACTTTCAAAGGAGACCAAGAGTATTTATTTAACGACAAGGCAACATAAAAACCACTGTATAGCATTAGACTTTTAAATTATTGATTTAAACAGAAAGGCCCTGTGAGATTTTTGAACAGTATTTACTTGTAGGGGGGAGAGCCATTTTTTCTCTGATGCCTAATGAGAGATATGTATAGAAAATTGAAAAATACTTTCTAGTTCTGAAGCGTTATGAACACTAAATGTTTTTGATCCTCATATTTTTTTTAATTTAGTCAAAAAAGAGATAATTGTTTTTCCAAAAATAATTTTGCTTTGGTAGGTAGTCGTGCCACTTAGCAGTTTACCTTCAATCAGACAAAAACGATAAAGTTATAATTAACAAAATGCTGTTTTATAATATACATACCTTATTCTATTCCTATCTACTAACACCAAATAGAATGGTACTTAACAATAGGAATCAGAAGACTACCGGGGCTGTTACTGGAAAATCCCTTTGATAATTTGTATTATTTTTGAACAGGTTTGCAAGCAAGGCATTAGCATCCCTGTAGACAACTGAGCATATAGGGCCCAGAGATGTGGGCCGTGTTAAACCAAGAGACCCAGTAACACCTCAGGTTTCCTTGTTATGATCCCTGTTAAGCCATCCCATTTGCTCTTAAAATTTAACATAAATGGTTCTCAGATGGTCTCTGTTAGGTTGGTAGAGGTAATAGCCAGGAACTTAAGCTTCACTGCCCATCTGTAGTCTCCTCTCATAAGCCCTCCCTCTGTCCTGCTAATCCTAGATTCCACTTCAAGTGTTCTGGAGTCTGGAGGAGCAAGGATGCAATCCCGACCAGGTTCCAGTGGACAAGCCTGGCAAAGTCCCTTTCAAATTTCATCAGCCCTGGAGCAGCCATAAACTGCTTAAAATCCTTGAATTGGAACGTCAGTAATACATCATGACCAATTACTGTCTGTGTAGAGGAAGCCAATTAGCTCAAGCATCAGTATGCAACAGCTTTGTTAGACTACGCTGTCTGTTATCAACAGCATGTCATCACCTTCAGCACCTCCTGGATATGCTCTTGCCGCTCTGCTTCTGTGATCCTGTCCACATACCACTTGAGCACTTTGATGAGATCTCTAAAAAAAACCAGGGAGAAATGTGCAGAGTGTAGAACTGGTCTAAATCTCAATTAAATGCCAACAAATCCAACACTTATTTTTATCATAAAGTAGCTTCTTTTCCCATCAGTTCTGGTATTTTCCTGTCAAACTGCTACATAATAATTTTACTAAACTTGCAGATCAACATCGCTGCCCCTGTTGAAGCTCAAGAGAGAAGGAACACTCAGTCTGGACACATTCCATTGCCCTGCTATTCCTGGCAGTGCTCCCAAAGGGGCAAACATAAATATCTGAGAAAAGCACTCTGGCCAAGCAAGTACCTGGAAGTATGACTGTCATGGTCAGTCGTGGACAACTGCCAATTGGGATTTCTTTCTCGGTGACCATGTAAACAGCTGAGTGAAATATGCAGCTGGAGGCAAAAAAAGGGGTGTGGGAAGGGATGAAGGCAACACCTCCCCCACTCCAAGTCACACCCCATGGATTTATCAAGCCAATTCCCTGACCTGTGAGAAGAGCAAGGCTTACTGTCAAAGTGTGCCTTAGAAGGAGAATTTCTAGAAAAGTCAAGGTTTTTTGTTTGTTTGTTTGTTTAAAGAAACAAAAATCAAAACCAACAATAATAACCCACAACCCTCAGAATTACAGTTTTGCCACCTTAAACTTCAGTCAGTTCTTAGTTTCTAGGACACAGTTCACACAGCAATTCTCTTGGTCACGGAATGAGGCTTGGATGTGCCGGTAGGTAGATGCTTCTGGGAGCACTATTTTTAAGATAATATGTCAGTTTCTGACCACCCACCATCTGAGAGGATTCCGCAGGCCTTATTTATCTTTTAGGAGTGATGATCCTGCTTTCCTGGCCAATCTGAAGTGTTAGAAATCACACTCTTGTTCTCTAGCCTTCAGTGACGATTTCAGTTGCAAGCAGTGACCACTTCACGCTAGGACTCAAATTGTGAGGCCAAGCGGGCCAACATTTCAAAACTATTCCTGTTGTCGCATTTCCCTTGGCAAAAAAGCATGTTGATGGAGTGTCTAGGCTTACAAAAATACCTTCATTTAGTCTTAACATGCCATGGTCAGGAATACCCAAGTTAACATGATCAAATGCTTATTTGATTAGCTATTATCCTTTATATATCACATAGATGGGGGAAAAGGGGTTAAAAATAAACCTGATTCCTACTCTTTTAACTCACCTCTGGGAACAGATGGTCTTGCACATGCACAGGTGCTTACAGTATAAGGTAGAAATGAAGGAGAACAGCAGTGACAGCATTGGCCCAGAAAGATAGAACACTGGGGGACATTCTAGGGCTATTTAAGCAGGGCAAAGACTGGGAAGGAGAGAAGCTATTGCCTTCTGGCGGTTACCAACTGGGCTGTGTGGAGGCAGGCACTAGCTAAAGCATGACATTTATTCACTCCCTCTCAGCCTCACTTGCACCATCTGAGCTGGTCGGAAAGGAGCAGCAGTTAAAACGGAAGCTCCCATCAAAGGGTCTAATGACGGGATTGCTTGAGGCCAGGGACCAGGTCTTCACATTATCAGCACAAAGTATAGCACCTGGCACGCAGCAGGACCTCACTAAATCTTAACAGATGAATGAATGAATGACTTTCAACAGGTATGAAGACAATTTGTATTTCTTTCTTAAAGACATCTAGAATTGTCAAGGAGTGCAGTGATTAAATGGGGATATTGATAGCCAAAGTGAAGTAACCAGACATTTTAGACCAAGTGAAACAGAAACAAGAAAAAACTTTATATTTTAGGTCTCAGGAATAGAATTCAGCAAGTTCTTTTTTCCTCTTTTTAATCGAAATAAGTTCTAGCCACTATAAAAGGATGTGTGAGGAGAGAAGAGATTGTCTCAAGAGACACTTCAGTTGTTGTGCTTCATTTCTTCCTACACTCCCTTTTAAATTTTCCCATATAGCTGCTCTGCTGAGAAAAAGCTCAAAAGGAACCGCTTCTAAAGCAATTACAAGATAAAGGGCCTTACCTGTATGCAAGTGCCCCAGCAAAATGACTCTCAATGTAAGTGTCCATTACGGGTTTAAAATGATGAAATTTGCTATCTTGCAGCAAATTTATTATGTGAACCTAAAAAAGAAAATTGAGCTTTATAAAACCAAATGCAAACCAAGAATTTTTGGTGTGTTCTTTTAAAAATGAACTCTTACATTATTAAGAGCCTATTTCTGAAACAGCCTCACGAAAGTCAAGATTGAGAGACAAATTATTAAAACATAATTAAGTGAATTTGAACTTACCAAAGAATCAAACACTTTAGACCCATATTTTTGTGAATTTTCATCTAAAATTCCAAATAAGGTATCCAGGGTATCCTGCAGAAACTGTTAAAGAAGTGGTAAATGAATGAATGAAATACTATTTGTCCTTCCCCTCCAAATGCTCTTTATCCTATAAATTTCCGGGAGGAAAACAGTAGCAAAATAGTATATACCTTTACTATCTCTGAGCCATCGATTTCTTTTAATTTAGAGAGACAGCCAGTGATCTTGTCTGGGTGGGTTCTCCATTTCAAAAGATCAAGCATATCACCTTTCCAAACAGAAAGGAAGATTAATTGCCTTAATAGAGAACAGTCCCAACATGAAAGTGTTCTACTGGTAAAAGCTGAATTCTTAACCATGTGGCTCACCCCTCCTAGATACTCCAGTTGCAGGCTCCCACAGAGTACGACCAGTCCTCTCTGGGATGGCGTGTATTCCAGTACCTTCTAATGATTTCCTCCCTCCCATTGCTCTTGACTTATATAAACTCCTAGTTATTCTTTAGTTCTCAGGTTAGGTGTTGCTTTATCTGAGAAGCCTTTCCCGAAGTCCTGAGCTAACTGTCCTTTCTATGTGCTCATACATCACAGTAGCGCTTATCTTACCATTACAGCTGTTTGTGTATTTGTCTATGCCCCAACTAGACTGTAAACTCCAAGAGAAAAAAAACCATGCCCAGCTTGGCACTATTGAATTTCTAGCACCAAGAACAAAGTAGGCAGTTGACAAATATTTGTTGAATAATTTTCTGCCTCCTCCTGGTACAGTATGATGAGACTTTCTGGAAGGCTAGGAACCTGCTTTATCCACGTTCGGACTCCCAGCACACAGTATTCTGCCTAGCAACCAATCGCACCCAGCAACAAAGGTCTTCACAAAGATTTTCTTGACAAAGAGACCCAAACTTGGCAGACTGAAAGGTCCCTGCCCAGTGATGACAAGCTCAGTGATTTGTCAGATCATCTAAGGAGCTCTGGGACCTGAGAGTGGCAGTTGCTGGACTCCAATGGCCATCTTCCATCCCAGATTCTGGGCAAGCTCTTCATTTTCCTCCCTTTCCTAAACTGATATAAGGACTCTTGAGTCCAACAGGTCCTCTGAGAACCTCTTCACCTGGGGAAGGAATAAATTCTTCCTTGATCTTTCTTGGGCAGAAGTTGGAAAGGCTCTGGAAGACGGTGTCCAAGCTTCATTAGTCTCCAAAGCTAGCAGGGAGACTCGGCATCCTGAGGCCAATGAGAGCAGTGAGAAGTGACAAGGTTCATGCAAGCAGGGCATGCACAGGGCCGTGGGACCCGCTAGCACTGGCCTCAGGGCTCACGGGGCTGACAGACTAGAATGGCCAATTGAGAAGCCAGGATGAATTTTCCAGGTGGAATAGCGAGAAATGTACTTCAAAGCACGTGTTTCAGGAGAAATCTGAATGGGACTTGCTGAGAAACAGACAAACCAACAAGGAAACAGAAAACCTGAGAAATCAAGGAAGTAGTTAAGATGAGAAAGAAAATAGGACACAGTGAACAGAAATGAAAAAAAGCAGAAGAATCCAAGAGGAAAGAGAAGCGAGCTCCACCAAAGCCAGATTCAAGAGAAAAACTTCACAAAGGACTTAGTAAGAAATTAAATGCTAAATAGGAATGTTTATCTACAACAAACAAGGATAACAGGAGGAGGAGGAGGAGGACGTAGAATGAAAAATACGAAGGAATTTTTAAAATACTGACTTTGAAAGAGGGATTTATGATGTTTTCATAACCAAAAATCCCTGAAAGTATTTAATATTCATATGTAACTCAGCCATCCTGGGGGTATGATTGAAACCTTTTAAAAACGGATTGGTTATATTTGGCATATCAGATATTTCCACAGAGTGGGCCTGGTGGGACCAAGGCAGGGCTCTATTGTTCTCTCCCCGTTTGCTGCCTCCCTCCCACCTACTTCCTGCTTCTTGCATCTAACTTCAGGAGGCTCCCCTCCCTGGCATCTTCTCTTTTATAATCCCCCAGTGCATTTTCAACCCTGCCATTCACTCTCACCTCCTACTCCGCCCCCATCCCAGCTCTCACTTCTTGCTCTCTTCCTCTGCCTTTAAAGTGAAGCAGTTGCAGGGGCGTTCAAGGCCCTGCTCAATATAAGGAGTGGGGTGGGCCAGGGAGGGGCTCTGCTGGCCCCAAAGTGGCAGCACCAGAGGCAGCAGTGGGGAACCGGGACCAGGGCCCACACGAGCACAGCTGGAGAATAATTACAGTGGTCCAGTCAATCAGATCAGGATGAGACTATCCATCTTTCCTGCAAGAAGGCTGATGAATCTCTAGACTGCTCATAATGGAGCACATAGAAGAGTAAAGCAGTTATGTGTGTCTGGATGTAATTAGTCATGTATGCAAAGTACTCAGAGTTAAGACAAAACTGCCATCTCCTAAGTCTCTGTTTCAGCCATTTGAAGATTTAGTTGCAAATTAGAAGCCATGACCAACCACTGAAAATATGGATTTTCTATATTCCATTTAACAAGCATTTATTAAGTGTATTTTATGTGCCCAATCTATCAAGAGCTATAAAATAGGAGGATGACATGACCCCTACCACTAAGAAGCTTAAAATCTCTACTTGATTCAGCAGTCAGAGATGTCTAGCACAGTGCTCTGGCCTGGGTACACTATCCATGAACAATGTAGAGTAACAGAGTGTGCAGACAGACACACTTTGGGAATCCTGCAATGCAAATCTGCTCTAGGAAACTATTCCTAGAGACCATATAACTTACTAAATGCTCAGTTGTAGTGGAAATAGGATTTGTATATTTTCCAAGTCAAGTAAAACGAACACATAGCAATTTAATTCCAATTTGGAACTGGATTACTTCTACACAGAGATGTGTCTAGCATGTAAATTTCAGAAAGATCAACTAACTTCCTTCCTCCTTCCCGTCTCTTGAAACATGCTATTCATTTCCTAGCTCATTTTGAGTAGTCTTACAATGACAAGGTTAATCAGAGACAAAATGATAATTAAGCACTCATCAGTCTCCAAAAATGAGCCAGACATCACATGGAATTCTGATCCCACCTTCCATATAGTGAGATGTGTAGTATAATGATTTCATGAATAGTTTATATACCCATATTTACCTAAAAATGTTCTCTGCCTTTAAAAGGTAGCAACTTCTAGTTTTTAGGATTTGGTTTTCTCCATCTTATGCTCATAATTCTAACACCTTAAACCCTAGAACTAAACAAATTCAGGATGCAGGACCAAATGTTTTGATGGGAACGAATCTACTGTGAGGTTTATAAGTGTGGTAGGCAGAATAATGCCCTCAAAGATGTCCACATATCTTTGGAACCTGTGAATACATTTACCTTACATGGAAAAAGAGATTTTACAGATCTGATTAAATTGAGAACAGGGGGATTATACTGGATTATCTAGCCCAATGTAATCACAAGGATCCTTAAAAGACAGAAGGAGATCAGAGCCAGAGAGATTTGAAGATGCTATGCTGCTGGCTTTGAAGATGGAGCAAGGGGCTGTAGAAAAGGTAAGAGAAAAGATTCTGCCCAGAGCATCCAGAAGGAATGAAACCCTGCTAATGCCTTGATTTTAGCCCAGTGAACTCATTTTGGACTTCTGACCCCAGAACTGTATGATAATAAATCCATGTTGTTTTAATCCAATAAGTGTGCGGTAATTGTTACAGCAGTAATAGATAACTAATACAGTCCTAAAATATTCTACAGGGGACATTCAGTTAAACATGGTTGTAAACTCTATAACAGATATACAACTAATCCACACAGGATGAATGAAAATTCTAAGGGAGTCAATAACAGGTTGATTTTATTATCTTCATAACTTCCATGGGGGTAGACTGGCCCCATAAAAATACCTGAGGTTTAGTAAATGCTTTATAATCATTTAGAGTTATGTCAATGGAGGTTTTATTTAAGTAAAATCATTAACCACCAAATACAGATAAAGTCTGGTATAACCTGACATATCTTAACTTGGTGTCCTATATAAATAGAGCAGCATTTCATGTTGAAATTGAGAGGTATTTTAAAAGTGGTCAGTAGTGTAAATGCTACATTTTGCTGCTTTTCTGATACTACAGTGGAGGAGAAGAAATATGTTTCCCTCTATAGATGCTGTTCTCTGACACAGAAGGAGGAACTAAGAAAGAACTAATAACTAATAACTGTACATGTTTGGGCATAGGAGGTTTTTATGAGACAGAATACCTTATTATGAAGTGATTCTCTTCAACATACTGAATCTAACTTGTTAATACAGCATTCAGGATGCTAGCCAAAAGCCTTATACCACAACCATGAAGAACTCAAAAATGTTTAATTTACTTCCTTCATTATAGATGATGTTTTCATAGCAATTTGCCAAGGAGAAGAGCTTACTTTATTAATCATAACTTGCTAACAATCACTGACATAAAAAGTAATGCTAGAACAGAAAAGCAATATGCATCTAATTAAACAAAAAACAGCCTTTATTCTAAAGCCTGCAATTAGCGCTGTTTATGGAGCTATAAAACAAGAGATTAAGGGGTTGGTATTTCTCTCTCTCTCTCTCTCTCTCTCTCTCTCTCTCTCTTTTTTTAAAGCAGCTGGGTTTTGATGGTTTATTTGGAGAGTTGTGTACTTGGTTCCCAACACTGGGATAATTTTGAAATCTTTCTTAAATTACATGCATTCAACAGAGCATTGGGTCAGAGTTGTTTCCATTTTATTGGAAATCACAAACAGAAGGATTAATAATTTTTTCCTGTAAAGTTCTTAAATATAACTTTGGTGTTTACTAAATGTGCTTACCAAAATTCACACAAGTACTCAGGTATAAGGGCTTTCAAGTAAAACAGTATTTATACGTTACCATTTTGTGTGAGTTTTGTGGAACAGAGAAAAGATGTTATCCAAAAAGACTCCTTTGTGGCCTTCATGGCTTGATTATTATTCCCAAGGAAAATGCCCTTGGAAAAGGGAAGTTTGAGGTAGCGGGTAGTATCCTGAAGGTTTGTGTTTTCTTCACACTGTCAAAAATATTTAAAAAAACAAAAAGGAAGAGGGAAGAGACCTCATAAGAATTATTAAGCATAATTTCCATTTCTAGTGTTTATGAACTGGGAAATATTCCAAACAGCAAGCATTACAAATAGAATTTGGCTTTTAAATAAAATGCAGCAAAAATTTATAAAAAGAATTAAACATGAATTTTTGGACTCAGAGCAATTTGAGTTTGAATCCTAGCTCTGTCACTTCCCATGTGAGTGACTGTGTCAAGTTATTTCACCACTTGGGGTTCCTGCTGTCTTTCTCCAAAACCTCATTGTGTCATTACAGGAATTAAATTACATAAAACCTTTAACACAATACTTTGGAAATGCTCAAGAGATTATGTTTGCAGTGACCATAGCAGTTTATCTGTGTACTGCCTTTGTAATGATAAAGGTGGTTTTAAATTAAAATTTTGAGAAAAAATTATATATCTATAACATACACAGCTGGTATAGCTTAGATTATTTTAAGCATAAATTTGAAAATTCATATAAAGCATTTTTTGAAAAACATAATTTCTTCCAACATTTCATCTGAAGCAGCTGTTAAACAGTTTTTTACTTTGAAAACTGGCGATTAAAGGAAATGGTATTTCAGGTAATCTAATAGTCCCACTATATGAAGGAAATCTCTGCTTCACAGAAAATCCCAAATAATAAATGTAAAAGGAATTACAGATTTAGAAAACACAATTTCATAGCCCTACTGTAATTATTTCAGTCAAGCATTGTCACTGAGTGCTAAAACCAGCAGGATTGTTGATGAGGAATTCGATGTTCACATGACGCCAACGTAGCAACTCACAGATTACTTCCTAATTGTAAGACGACAAAAGCAACTGCAAGTGAGGGGGGATCAGGTTGTCATCACACCAGTGCAGAGTGATGCAAAGACATCATCACTTACAATGTGTTCTCACCAAAGATGTGGACCCTGACTCCATCACATCTAGATTTCAACTTCCACATTGTAGGAAACACAAGACATTGAGCAACATGTTGAACAACACCTCAGGGAAGCAACCATACAAATCCAAAAGATGGGGCTTTCTGCAGGATGCCTGGCCTTGTCTCTTCAAGTCAGTGTTGTCAAAATAGGGATTGTTCTAGATTAAACAACATTTAAAACATAGATAGCCAGATGCAACACATGGTCCTGATGATTGGTCCAATTTTTTTTTTTAAATTTGTACATTGAGTAGGTTCTAGACGAGACAAAAATTTAGTGATTGGAAAATCATTACCTAAAAAAAGACACACTAAAAATAAATACATATTATGTGGTATCATTTGGGTTAAAAAAAAATCCATACAGAACATCTGGAAGGATATACACTAAGGAGCTAATAGTTATCATCATCTGGGGTAATGAGAATATGATGTTTTTATTTTATTTTGGTTTATCTGTATACTGCTTTTGTAATGACAAATTATAAATCTTCAGAAAAGACCTCTCTAACAAGTTTAGAGAAACAGAATCAGAATTTTATAAGATGTTCTTACTACCACGCCTGCCTTGTAACAGAAATACCAATATAAACACCATAAATAGCCTTCATAATTCTCTAACAACTCCAAATGATTTCTTTTATTACTGTGAAATTTTTTTTTTTTTTTGAGACAGAGTCTCACTGGGTTGCCCTGGCTAGATTGCCGTGGCGTCATCCTAGCTCACAGCAACCTCAAACTCCTGGGCTCAAGCGATCCTCCTGCCTCAGCCTCCCGAGTAGCTGGGACTACAGGCATGCGTCACCATGCTCGGCTAATTTTTTCTATGTATTTTTAGTTGTCCGATTAATTTCTTTCTATTTTTAGTAGAGACGGGGTCTTGCTCTTGCTCAGGCTGGTTTCGAACTCCTGAGCTCAAACAATCCGCCCACCTCGGCCTCCCAGAGTGCTAGGATTACAGGCATGAGCCACTGCGTCCAGCCTGTGAAATATTTTGAATAGACAGAAGAGTGTATAAGACACACATATACGGTTTAAAGAATAATTATAAAGTGAACCTCTCAAATGCTTTCTTCAGAGAAAGTGCTTAGGCAAAGTAGTGTTCTGGAACCCTGGATCACAGCCCCCTCCCCTTCGTCTTGTCCCTGGCATGTCAAAGCATGAGTCACAGCACCCCAGATTCACCCTATCCCCTGCCTGGATCTGGTGTATGGGGTTAGGAACATGCTCTGGTCTTCCATGCTGTCCTGACTTGTGCTCCATACGTCTAACCACCACTTCCTATAGTGACTAAAGTCTCATGCCAAACTCAGCCCCGACACTCTGTCCAGCTATTCCAGCCCTCCTCCCCAGAAGCCGAAGCCTGCCTTGGTCTGGTATGATCCATCTGTTCACAGAAATTCTGCCCCTACAAATATATCTCTTATCACCTCTCCTCCCAACCGACTAACCGCCTGGCTCTTGAGCATTTGTGGCGGCCTCTTGGAATTCCTGCTTGATATTCTCATCTAGCTCTACTGGTTGCCATGGGACTGACCACCTCTGTGAGTGAGGATGTGACGGCTGTGTCGTGTCCTTAGGGGCTCTGTGAATAGAAGACTTGGCTGCTTTCTCCTGGGCCAGGTCAGTTCTCCCAACACTGGTTTCATTTCTTCCCCAGCCTGAGCATCTGAGTCTGTCTGGGGCATGACAACTTGACAGCTTCTCACAGCTAAACTCTATCACCCTCACTCAAGTATAAAATATAATAATTACTACAACAATACTCTGGACACAACAGTTATTTCAAGACCTTCCACCAAGAACACTGGGGTGAGTGTGTGTGTGTGTGTGTGTGTGTGTGTGTGTGTGTGAGAGAGAGAGAGAGAGAGAGAGAGAGAGAGAGAAGGAAGGGGAGGGGGAGGGGAGAAAGAATTCCGTCTATCAATTCAGTAAAGAAAAGCATGCCACTACTCTTTGGTCTCTATGAATCCTTTAATATAATATTTACCAGGGGTTCAAAACTGATTTTTGTCCAGTAGGATTATGCTAGGTATGAAGTCAGAGTTAGAAGTTTTAATCTATTCTTGAAAAAATTAAGAAATTGCACAGAAAATCTTATAGCATATCTTTTATAGTTCTTTGAGGTTTTCAGCATGTATCCTTAGCATATCACAGGAACACTGGAGATTTTAAAAGCAATCCAAGCAACTACCACTTATGAAGACTTACTATATGTTAGGCACTGCTAAGCACTTTGCATGCATTTTCTTCTCATAACAACCCTATGAGGTGGGGGTGGGATATTGTAACCTAAGGAGCTTATGTGATTTGCCTAATGTCACAATATTAGTAAGTGTCAGAGTCAGGGTTTGAACCAAAGTTTGTATTCACAACTACTATAGAGCATTGCCTCCCTCTACTGTCGTTTTAACCAAGTTTTGAATTTTGCTGTAATGAATTTAAAATGTATTGATTTGTAGATAAAATATTGACTAGTAGGTATGGCTAAGAAAGGCCAAAAAAAGTTCACTTTTCAAAACAAAGGTATGTTTGTAGGAGACACCCTGGGAGAGGGCTCGGAGTGGTGTGTGAAGCTAAAATAATTTCAAATGAAATAAGCTTATGAGTCTCACAGCAAAATGGCTAGTTTATGTTCTCAAACCACACAGGGAGCAAAAGAGACCATGAGACCTGGATGCAGTGGGGAGGAGGGCAGGTAGGAGCAGGTGAGGCACGACCTAGGAGCTTAGAAATGCACACATGAGCTAGAGAGCAGCTGTTCTTTCATTTGATGAGAGAGATCTATACAAGAGACATGGGATTCAAGAGCAGTGAAGCATAGAAGTGGGGTTCCAGAAGGCAGCCCTCCAAGGCAGGAGCAGTTGTCAGCTAGAGTTTAAGCCAAAAACATCAAGCAGCCTCCTAATACTAGCAGAAGGCAGGGAGTGAGGGAGAATCAGCGGTAAATTCCCCAGGCATTCTTCAGCCAGGTGGGAGAAGGGTCTATAATGGGAGTGAGATTCTGAACCAGAGTGTGGACTACAGAAAACAAATGGGAATGAACAGTCTCCCTGCTAGGTGAAGGGCTTAGAGTCAATGAAGCCACAGAAATGAGGCTGGGAAAGTGTGGTTTGGCACTGCTTGTGCTTTAAATGGAAATATCAAGTGTAACAGAGTAGTGGTTGAGTGTTTGAAGGCCTGCGAATCTGAGTGGTATAGGCTTAGTAGCACCAAACTGCAGCTGTGAGATTCTTCCACTGTGTTTGGCTTTGTCATCATGGTAAAATCCAGTTATAGCCCTAACCTGGATGGGGTGGTTAAATATGGATCACTTGCATTCTGAGGAACACCTGTAAAACAACTCTTTTGGCTTTGGCATAGAGAATATTTTTCCATCAAACCCAATGTAGGCATGGACCAACGCATTATGGATATGAGAATAAGAAGACACTGCCGTCCCCACTAGAGAACTCATCTCTTGTGGGAGACACAAACACAGCTGAAGTGTTACGGTACATGCATAATGGCAGATCGATGAGGAAAGGATTAGTGAAGCTGTTCTTTCTAGGAGCAACAAGGCAACGTGACTGCAGCCTCTTGAGGCTGCTGCTGGCTTGGGGGACCAAAGTATATCATTGTCATAGCAAAAGACAGTTCTCTGTGTTTGCTTTGATGGGTTGGGATCTGTGAAAGTCATCTTAAAATGGCATGGAGTTAACTGACTACAAATTAGAGAGAAGAAACATGAGAACCAACCCCCTGTTTTACTATATGGGGTTGTGAAATCAGTTCTGACCAGAGAGATGTGTTCCCTCAGACTCTCACGCAAGTACTAAAAATGCAGGCTTTGCCGTGGCAGCAGTAGTCTCCATCTTCTTTGAGATCATGTAGCTTGGCTCATGGTCTACTTCTTTCCCCAGAACAAAAATCAGTTGGTACAGCAATTAATGGTGCATTATGTCCTTGACTACTTTTTGACCACTGTCTTAGACATGTGAAAGAACTACAGTGGTCAGTCATGAGCCGTGTTCCAGAAATGTGATATT